AATCAGAAAATCTATGATGGGGCAGAGTGAGCTGTTTGCTCAAATTGCACTTCATTGCTACAATCTGCACCACGTAAATCAAGTCTTTTTTTTGCTTCTGTGTACCTGATTTAAGCCAAGTTTGTTTGTTTTTATTTGCTTATTCTTATTCTTGTAGGGGGGGAATTTACAATTTTTGCATATGTCGCTCGACGTCAAGTGTGTTTGATGTGAGAGCCACCATTATTAAGTATCTTATTATAGTCCTCCCATTTGATCATCTTATCGATCTAGGTCGTCGGTCGTATTTGCTTGTGTGCTAGTCGTGTAAGGGGATAAAGACATAAGACTACAAGAGTATGATGAATCATGAATGAGACAGTGATCGCAACACACAAAGCAATGGTGATTCTGAGACAAGATAACAAACGTTCACTAAAAATTCATAAATAATACAATTAAATCAACCTACCACTCAGTCTACAGGTTCTTCATACATATCTATAACAAACCCAAAAAAAGTTAACAGAAACGGTCTTAAACTTTGGAATCACTAAAATTGCTGGCAGCGATCGAAAGGGGGTTGACAAGTGAATTCGGCGCTGAGATGCGAGACAAGTCCAACGAGATTGGATTTCTTCTCATCCCAGTTCCGGAGATAAGTGAAAAAGACGAGACCACTAGTAGGAGCGATACTTACTAGATCTTTCTTGATGACATGATCGTTAGGACAATCCAACCAAACGTGAGCACGACTAGCAGGGTAAGACACTGGGAGGTAGATGGTGACAGAGGCCCAGTTCTTGCTACATCCCTCTTGGCAATACGGGGTTTTTACAAGTACCTGGATCAAAGGTTTGGACAAGTCGCACTCCACGCTGCCTTTCTCAGGGTAATAACGGTGTAGGTTACGTATATGTTCTTGGATAACCCTCTTGGTTGCGTCACTGTAAGTAGGTTCTTGCTGAGTATTGGAGATAAGGATAATACTAGTTCACAGACCAAGTTGTGAATTAAGATTATGTTACCGCTGAAGCAACATCTTTCACATTCTTGATGAATGCTTCTAAACCCCCTTCTTTATTCTTGAGGTATGTTGCTAAATCATAATGTCTTAGAAGATATTTTTGAGTAATCTGATGAAGCAATCAAGTCAGTTTTCTATCTTCTTTCATCAAAACACTGAAGCCAAAACTAAGAAGAATAAAAACGTAAAACCTTTGTGAAAATGTCTGCTTGGACTGCTCTATCTAAAGGTACAAAGCTAAGAAAAAGTTCCTTCCCACCATTTTCGATTAGTAACTTTGCCAATATGGTCTCCCACACGAAAACCAGACAATCATCATCATCAGCATAAGAAAAGACCAGAGCAACAAACCACAAAGAAACTGGTCCAGACACAAACCTGATCAGGTGTCAAAACCCCATTTAGATTAGGGATGCAAAGAGGAGGATGGTCAGTGAACTCTTTGGTGAGTTCCTTGAAGAGTGATACGACATTGGATTCATGGTATTTCCAAGAGTCGAGATAAGCATGAGAGACTGCACCAGAAGAATCAACACAGTTGCTTTCTTGGATTGTCGTATCGTCTGCGCAATTCACGAAGACCTCAGGACAAAGATGAGGGTAATACTGCGGGAAACAGATGGTGACAGGAACCGAGTGTTTCTTGTTTTGATACGGGATCGATCCGTATGCCTGAAGGAGATTTACGGAGGCGACATTGTCGATTTTGTACTGTAGCACAAGACCAGTAGAGACTAGGTCAACCAGATGTCGGAGGATAAACCCTTTGGTAAACTCGTCGTAACTAAGGTCGGGGCCGGAGAGTAGCCCGGAGATGACGCGGTAAGCTTTTCTTTGCGGAGTAGACATCGGACTTGTCATCGGAATTGACAATGACATCGGAATTGTTGATGAACGGCAGCACAATTGCAGAGTCGGTTCGATCTGGGAAGGTATTTGCTATTGCATCTACCGAAACGCAAAGCTAGAGAGACAAAACTTTGTGCAACGAGAGAGTTTCAAGGCTCAAGCTTTACGAGTTTCCGACATCAAACTCGACGACGCAAGGAGCAAGCAGGTGAAGCTCTGCAGAAAACGACGTCGTTTAAATGAAAAGGAAAAGCCCTGAACATAAACGACGACGACGTCGTTTTTAAATGAAAAGGAAAAGCCCTGAACCTAAACGACGTCGGTTTCATCTGTAATAGTGGCATTTGCAAGGCACAAAACACAACCAAAATGCAATTACAACACAAGTCAAAAGAAGAACATGGAATGCAATTATTAAGTAACTGTAGATCAAAGAACTAAGAATGAAAGAGACAACTCAGAAATCATATCTGCCTGTAAAATTCTTGATATTATTTCTTTGTACGCAAAGAAAGAATTGTATGTACAACAGAGTTAATGGGTTTTGCTTTCTTTACTAGAATCTCCTATACAACGACCAATAGATGATGGTGAGGGACGGAACTTGTAATAAGTAGCAAAAGATAAATATGTGAAGCTAAGACCAACATATACTTTGAAACAGCTATGTGAATACAAGGTCAGATAGATGAATAGTACTGTCAAAGATATTACCACCGAAAAAGTTGCGATGCACTTCAGAATAGAGAGTTCTTCTTTTTCTGGTCTTTGATTTGGGAACTGTCCCTGAGCACTGAAATCGGATAGCAGTTTGTCCTTCAGCTGAAATGAATCCATTAACCAGGCAGAAGAATCTTCCTCGTTCGCAGGAATCTCACTTAGTGGAACTCGTCGAACGTGGATATGAACTTCTGAAGGATCAGTCCCGAATACATTGTCCATGAAAGATGGGCAGCGAGGCTTATATGCGATAGTCAAATCATAAACTGCATTTCAAAAAGATTACGTAAGAAGAACTTAGTAAGTTTGGCTTCAATAAAAAGAAAAATGCATTGTTCATGTAACTGTGGTCATGAGGTCCCAAATAGGGTCGGTCATTGGACGAATAGAAGATACGCAAGCCATTATAATTTAGTGAAAACTATAAGTATTTGCAAAAAATGTGGCATGAGATACAAGTGAACATACACAAACATTGTTTCATCAAAATCTCGTGGACCATACCTGCATCCAAAGAGTTATGTAGAGCTTCTAAGCAAACGCTAAAACCCCTTGTTTTTGGTAAAAGTACGTTTGATAGTGCCGGAAGACCAACTTCAGCTGCAAACTGTTGGCTTTTCTTGCATTTCTCTTCACTGAATATCAAAAATAAGGAGGTCTCAGAAAATCTGAAAGAAGAAAGACTAAGAGAGAAGCATTTCATACATTCGTGCATTACTACTTAGCAAGCAATTCCTGAATATGACCGCGACTCGGTTTATCAGTTATCTAAAAAACGATTCAGATTGACTAAGAATTATCTGAAACTCATTTACAATGTAGGATCATATGCAAAATCAGAGAGGGAACATATAGTACGTGAAATCGGTTCCTTCTGGGAATAGAGCGAGCCATAAGGGTTCTTGAGGATCCTTAAAAGTCAAAAGCATTTGAAGCATAACAGGTTCGTCGACCTCACGCTTCCTCTCCACTGGGATAAACTCGAGAATATGAAATCCCCAGCCAAATATAGGTAATCTCATCAAGCTGCTCTTGAGTACATATTTGATGTAGCCAAGACACCCTTTTCTCAAGGCAATATTCCACACATACATCCAATCCACCTCTGTCCTGTGATTCGCAATTAGCAAAACACGTTTCTCTACCGGAACTCTGTCTCCAGAGAACACCACAGTTGTCCCGTTAACCGTTTCAAACAGGTAAGGCCACAAAGCTAACCAGTGACCAAAGATGAACGATATAACTTTCCTAGATTGATGCACACTCAGAAACCGTAGACCAAGAGCAAATATCGGTGCAAAGTACACCAGGAACATAAAAGCAGTAGACAGAAACACCAGTAAGATCATCACACCCCTCAGAATCCTAAGCGGAGTCAAGGGACGGTTCTTTAAATTATCAGAATTCAGGTCCCCGCAAACTTCCATCTTTTCTTTTCCAGATAAACTTCTAGAGAAACTGCAGCAATGAGAATCAAAATATTACTCAGTGCCACACCTCACAAAGATTGAGTTACAGACAAGAGATTTAAAAAACCAATGCAAGACCCAAAAAATGTAAACTTTCAATTCTAAGCTTAAGCAATGGCAAATTTTAGACCGAAACAATTCATCTAGCAACGACCCAGAAGACATAGAGATCCCTGATCAACACATCTATGAATAAAATATAGATATCAACCCAAAGTTTCAAACTTTTTGACATGAATTAATCTATATAACAGAGAAATTACGTTTCTATGAGCTTAATGGAAGATTCAACCATGTTTTCTTACTTAGTATCTAAAGCAGTCAGTATATACAAGCGAATCAAATTGACTATAATCAATAGTATTCCAAAACAAAAACACAGAAATCACGGGGAAGAAAGAAACATCCTCAAATTGGGAAAAGACTTGTGAATACCGCAACTTAAAAAACCAGATCCTCACGTGATTATAAGATCAAAAGACAGAGCAAGAGAAACACTTCTCACGTATCTCCAAAACATGAAAACTCTCCGAAAAAAGGCAAAAAAAAAAGACAAAATCTACGAAGAAGAAGGATAAAGTACCTGGAGAAGTTAAGGAGCGGGACCAAGTTTGTGAAGACGAAGAGGATAATTGTTAAATGGAACAGAGGGAATGCGAATCTCAACGAAGGATCCGTTCCGGGTCGGATCTAAATGGAGAAGGTGGTGTGATCAGAGACGGTAGGGTACATCCTACACCCAGAGATTTCATTGGTGGTATATAAAAAAGTCAAAGCCGCCGCAACGACAAATATCCCCTAGAGGTGACACTTTGAAAACTCAAACGTGAAGCAAACTCTAAATAATTAATTTACTTATTATTAGTTGTACCAAAAAAGGAAAAATATAATCACGCTTTTAATAATTTACTCTTCTTTTATTATCAACAGATTTTACCAAATATTTTTATTGAATACTTAAAGATCAACGCTACTTGCATTAATAGATCCGAACATAGTATATTCAATTTAATTAGCATATTTGTCTATTTTTTGTAGACTTGGATCTAATTTTTTTCTTTTAAATTTGGATTGCAGACCAAAAAACAAAATTGGGTAGAAGTATTTTTTTTTATACGAGTTATATAGCGACCACATGATGTTATTAATTAAATTTCATCGAGGAATAAATTAATGGCTTAATAATATTGTTTCCTCTGGTAAGAATATTGGACTCAGTATTTTAGTAGAGTAAAAGATTATTATTATTTTTTTAATATAATATGATTGACCAAAAGGAAACTCTATTAAAAAGTGATAGTAGACCAAATATGAGGATGTGATTGATCGGTTCAGAAGTAATATTCGCCAACTTACAATATGGTTACAAATGTAATTAAACGTAACATGGGATTAAAAACATAAATAACTGAAAGACGAGGGGTTTATACGTAATTAACAAATTTACAGTGCCAGCGGATATTTTCCTCGCCTCTGCTTCTGTCCTTTGAGAATTATCCGGACAACTTCAGACATGCCGTTGCTCCGATCTTCTCTTTTGTCCGAAATCTCTTCATGTGACCTAATTTCTTGTGCATTCTGAGTGATTCCGTCGCGAACAAGTGGAAGCAAATGCCGATTTCTATGGAGCTTCCTGTTTTCTCCACTCTCCGTGTACCATTGTTCTCTCGTTTACCTCTTGTTCCTTCTTTTCGCATTCCGTTTTCGTCCCTTGTTGCTACAACGCGATTGAAATGTAACGCTCGAAAGGCGCGTCGGATTAGTGTGATGTGTTTGGTGAGAGATTCGATTCCGATGGAGACGACGAGTGAGAGAGATGAACAAGGAGGTGGAGATTGGTCTGAGTACATTGAGGTCGTTGTTATTGGTAGTCGCAAAGAGTCTATTATGGATTCTTGCTTGGATTCTCCTTTTCCTTCTCTTCCTCTCCGATTTTGGTATATGTTCGATTTATGTTAGTCCAGTAGTTCCATTTCACTTATGTTTGTTGGCTTATGGTTTGAATTGATGTTGTATGTTATGTGTAGTCATGAAATTTACTAAATTTAACTGGAAATACTCCCTTTTTCAGGAGTATTAGTAGGGACAGCTCTGGAGATTTAGTGTTACAGCAGAGGCTTAATCACGAAGGTCCACTTTGAATCAGAGTTTGAAATTTGGATACTTTAGTGTTTGAAAATGTACTGAATTTCCAAAATTTGGCACATGGACTCTCTGTGGTATTCAATCGTTGGATAGTTATGTCTGTGTTATCGTATTTCTTTCAGCATATATTTTAGCATAGGGATATATGCTATATTTCTTACCTTTTTACCTCTCTATTTATGTTTACAGATCATGTTTCAGCGACCATGGATCCAGCTGAGCTGATACAATCACGTCCGAGGGCCTTCATCCTTGTTTGTAGTTTTCTTTCCTATCATTACTTGTGTTCTGTTTTATGCTACCAAAAACTTTCGTATATCTTGCAGTTCCATCTGGCCACACAGAACAGTGTATCTAGTAGAATTAGCCGAACAAGATACAGTGTGGAATTGATCATTAAGAACCATGCTTTCTAAATTTGCATACGGCGCTTAATGAAATGCTAATGGGTTTTAATTTTCTCTTCGTGGAACAGTACTGGTCGTGCATCTGATTCTGTTTAAACTTTTCTCCTTACCAGGTGGCTAGTGGTGGATATGGTTCTGACCATGTTGAAGCTATTAATATTCTTAGTACAGTAAGATCTGGGGGTAACTTAGCTGTTGCTGTGCTATTAAAGCCTTTCAGCTTTGAAGGGCGTAGGCGTCTAGAAGAGGTAGTTTTGTGTTGCCTCTATAAAGTTTTTTTAATATTGTATACTATCTCATATAAGAAATTTAAAACAGTACGTTAAATGAAATCCCGTTCTACAAACTCGTCCAATTGCATTTACTATCTCTAGTTGGAGTTTTTTTTGTCTCTTTTTCTAATTTCCCAGGTTGTGTGCAGGTTAACGAATTGGCTAGAAAATTGCAGCAACACACTAGTTTCTGTATAGGTACTTCTTTTATCAGTGTGAAAGATTTTCTGACACAACGTCAGAAAAGCAATCTTTTGTTCTAGTAGTTCTAGTAGTTCTACTAGCCATGAACTGACTAGAATTTGGGATTTTTAGATATCGACATAGAGATTTTACTACAGAAGGATTTGGTAACTTTGGACGAGGCGCTGAGAAATGCAAACAATGCTGTTTCGATGGCAATAAATGCAGCCTCCGCTCTGATAAGTGTACGCATACTTTTGTCTCTCGCATTTTACTCAAAAGCGATGTCATTTTCATATATGGGTTTATCCAGGGGATGCATGGAAGCTTCATCGACGTGATGCATAAAGATCTTAAAGAACTTGAAGGTTCAGAAGTTACGACTGTAAGTTTCTTGGAGTTTTTTCTGTTGGGATTTAATGAAAAAGACTGAGCTTGTTTTCAATTCTTCAACTCTCTTATATCCAGATTCTAGAAAGCTACAAAGAGGCAAAGGTTGGTTTTGGAGCTGGTCACAACCTTAAGACTTCTATTTTACGAGCTATATACGACTGCCCTTTCTTTCGCCCTGGTATAAAGGTATATCTAATTCTTAAAGAGCATTTCGTAGAATACTCATTCCGTACTACTTAAGTTCTTGGTTTGATTTATTTCTCCTCTACATACTCTTGTTTTTAACTTCCAGATTAGATGAAGAAGATTGGTCTGATAATAATGTGAATAGAATAATATTAACACATGGATTTTCTTATAATTGAAGAAATATGTCTAAACATAGTGTGCCTGCCCTGTAAACAAACCTTTTAAACAGATGGCATTACTGCTTGAAAATTTTATTGTGTATTTTGGCATTTCTGCCTGAAAGATATTCTCCGTGAAACCATTTTCCGAATTTAGGCTCTTTAAGTCAGTGTTCTTATGCTAAACTGTCACCCCTTTTCTTCCAATATGCAGGATCTAAGTGCTATTATATGCATTGTGGCTAGTTCGGTAGCTCTTCAAAAGAAGGACGTGAAAACAATTCTTCATACTTTTCGTCAAACAATGGAGTACACTGGAGATATCATAGTAACTACTGTTTATGAACCTGATCTGGAGCCTAAAGTCCTCGTCACAACTTTTTTTATTCTAAGGTGGGTATTCATGTCTAGGCTGACGATTTCAAGCTCATGCATATGGTTCCATATATAGTTTCAGCATTTATACCATATACTTTTATTAGTTTGATTAAGATCTCTGCTGGTTTTGGTCACGACTCAGATTCTATTTCTCGCAACCATTTTTAAGCATTAATGCAAGTTTCATATGTCATCGCAGTTGTTCAGAAGAGGAAACATCCAACAAAGGCAGCATTTTTTCTGGTCTTTTTCCTTTTGTTTTAAATATCTTCAAGAAATACCGTTCACAACTCCAAAATGAAACAAATAGTGGACTTGGAGATGCACCAGCTGCAATGGAAGATACAACAGACTCTACTGACGTAAAAGGTTCCAATCAGAGTGTTGAAGGATTTGAAATTGACTCTAAGGAACCCCTGGGAGCTTCCGAGAACGGTGATAGTGAATACCCATTAAAAGAGGGGGAACCCTATAGAAACAGTCAACTGGATCTTGGAGATGAAAATATTGAAGGTACAAAATCTAAAACAACTTTTCCTTGCTGCTTATTTTTATATGTAGGATTGGTTGAGATAGTTCTTTACTTGTTATTTATAGGATGCTGAAGTAGTAAGCCCCTAAGCTTAAAGATTTTAAATTCATTGTTTGTAGATTATGGCGCTATTCAGAGGGAGCCAATTGCTAATTGGAGTGTGGATCCAGGATATCAGATTGAACAAAAATGGCCAGCTGATTCTGGAGACACCGCAGTGCTTAGCTTGGGTATTGTCAACCTTCCTGTTGGTGTGAGACCTTCAAAGAGTTTGAACGGTAGTCTCAGTGTCACCAGTCAACCCTCCAGAAAGGCTGATTCCAGAGATGAATCATTTTTCAACGCTATTAGCTCGACAAGAGACTCTGTTGATACTGCATCTACCCTTCTATCTGAGAAATATGCCGATTTTACTAAGCAAAGAAATCTATCCGCTCGAGCAGCATCTATGCTGGTAAGTAGCAATGTAGAAGTCTATGAGGTTGAGATATAAAATCGTTCTCTTACCGAGTTGCTTTTCCTGAACAACAATTAATCCATAGAGAGGCAAAGTTATTTCCTTGTTTCAGTCTGCTACCAGAATTATAGTACATTTTCAGAGACTATTTAACTTGTTGAACATCGTCCCAGTCATGTCAACTGACAGAATTTTCAATTTTTAATTATTCTTCACTTAGGAAGCTGAACGAGATTCATCAAAAAGATGGAGTCCTATTCTAGAGATGCAGTACAGAGGAGGACTGTTCAAGGGAAGATGCCAAGGAGGCCTTCCCGAAGGAAAGGTAGTGTGGCATGTCACCTTTATTCATTGAAGAGAATACATCAATGGATCCTTATCTTATATTAGAGACAGATTTCTTAGTTGATCTCAAAGTAATGGCTAAATTTTTATATTTTTCCACCAGGGTCGATTGGTACTTGGGGATGGAAGCATATATGACGGGATGTGGCACAACGGTAAAAGATCTGGTCTAGGAACATTCTATTTCAAGAATGGGGATGTGTTCCAAGGCACATGGAGAGAAGATTTAATACACGGAAAGGTAAAATAGTTTTTGATCTATTGAATTAGCATTTATTGAGACTACACTTGTGCACAAACTACTTAGTATCATTGAGTTCGATCTTTTCAAGCTAGTGCCATGTAATCTATTGAATAGGTTTGACGTTTGAGAAAAGACTGCAGAAATGGCTACTGTTGTGACACAAGGATCTTTTATTAGACAAGACCAAACTTGTTATTCATCTTGCAGGGATGGTTTTATTTCCACAAAGGTGATCGATGGTTTGCAAATTTCTGGAAAGGAAAAGCCAGTGGCGAAGGACGGTTCTATTCAAAATCCGGCGATATATTCTTTGGACATTTCAAAGATGGATGGCGACACGGGGAGTTCCTCTGTATAGATGTTGATGGAACAAGGTCAGTGACTCTTGTACTCATAACATCATAACTAGAAAAAGAGCAAAACCCAAGTTTCTTTGCCTCTTGTACTCATAATTGTTCATGGGTTTTTCTACAGATACTCTGAAACTTGGGACGACGGTGTTCTTATCGACCGGAAACAAGTAGACGCCGGAGATTGACGTCGTCCGGCACCATTAAAGATGTTTGTAATTATATTTAGTGCAGATCGACTTTTGTCTTTTCTCAGATTATATTATTTACAAAATTTAATTCATAAAAGTATTCTTTGACTTAACTCTATCTATTGCTTTTGTTTTATTGATTAGATGTTAAAAAGAAATGAATCCAATTCCAAAGCTACAAGACTTTTTTTGTTTCCTTGCAACCTGAGAAAAGAGACGAATCTTGTAAATGTGAAAGTAAGCAAAAATGTAATCAAAACATATATTATTTCATTAAGTGATTACAATTAATCGTAGCTTTCCCCATAACTCGATTACGGATTTACGTATATATACTAGTATACATTCCTGTATCCTACTTCACACCAAAATTAACTTATCATACACCAAAAAAACAAAAATATTTGATCTACGGAAATTTTTTTTTTTTCTGGATGATAATATATCATTTTCAATAATAATAGTACAAAAATTGTATCGTTTTACGTGAGCTTATTTATCTAGCCTTCATCATCGAACGCGTCTTGACATAAAACTTCAAGTAGAGCAACGAGATAACGGCGTTTAAAACGGAGTTAAACAGCCAAGCTCCAATTCCGTTACAACCGCCGCGTTTGACCAAATGTATACACAGAACGCCTACGTGGCACACCGTCAAACACCCCAACAAAACCGCTTGACAGTTAACGACAAACGGAAAACAAGCGCCACGTAACCCAATCGCCGTCCAGAATCTGTAACCGTAAACAACGGCGTACGAAACAGTCGTCAACAGTATCGCAACAACCTGCTCACAAAACCGAATCAAAATTAGAAATTCGGTATTTGATTGACTAATTCCGGTTAAAACCGAGAACCGGTTAAGTTACCTGAAAAGACTGTGAGAATTCGAGCCAGAGGAAGGAGATACAGAGGAGAGAAGACTGATTTATGAGCTGGAAGAAGCTAAGCTTACGACGTCGTATAACGGAGAAGAATGTACGGAGCAAGTGAAGGAATCTAGAGAGGTAAAACGCGTAAGACCAGAAGAACACGCGCCCTGAAGCGCGTGTACCTACGGGAAAACAGAGGAACCATTGAAGAGCCGTGGTGCGCGTGCGTCGCCATAACCAGCGCGTGTCCCGGATCTCTGCGGCGGCTGAGAGGAGGATTCCGACGAAGATTACGGCGGAGATTAGGGACATGGTTAGGCTGTGTAAAGCTGGGATTGGGCCGAGGGAGAGTCCGCGATGACGGCGAGGAATTGT